TGGGTCTACCGAGGAGCCCTAGGCGAGGTCAAAATAGCAGTTCAACTTTGATGAAAACATCTTTTAGGAAAGAAGTCTAATGAAATGCAATGGAAACGCGAGGCCTACTCATATGAATGTGAGAAGATTCAACTACAAGTCTTTCATCATCCAAAATGAAATAGGGTGAACACAGTTCTTGTGCTAAGCTTTCGTCTGGTTTTTAAAGAATCCCTTAATAGATTAATGTTTGATTATCTTTCATTTCGTTTGAAGAAGCGACGGGAAAAGATTCGAACGGGGGTCACCTTGGAGCTGTGACTAGATTTATGCGAATAAGTCTTCGGATAAATGAGTTTTGCTCACCCTATTTCGTTTAAGGGGATGAGGAACTGGTAGTTGAATTTTTCCACAGGGCAAAGGTTTATGGATTCATAAATCGGAGGTGGTTGAACATGTGATCACTACAGGACATCTGATAAAGTGGTCAAAATCCCAACGTTTTTACGAATATGGGGACTTGATAGCTTATATGAGGAACGAGTGAGTTAGAACTGTCTCCGGCTGCTGAATATAATTAGAGAGAGAGAGAGAAGGAAAGAGAACAGGAAGAGTCACTGAGTGAGAGGAGAAGACTTGACTAAGTTGGAGCCTAGTTTCGGGCTCGAAATTGCCAACCAAATCGTGTGCGTTGCATCGACGAGGCTACAACAAGCTCCGGGAATACACGATCATACACCAATTTATTTACATACTGAAAAGTTATGACTACTTACACTCCCCTTCCTGCATCACTTTCACCCGCACACCTGCATGCAGGAGAAGCATAAAGCAGCCAACCAAATCATGGAATGCCTCATTAAGCTCGCAAAATTGAGGTATAAGAATTAAGTATGGTTTAGTGCTTTTTGATGATTGTTCGTGGATAAGGCTTTCTGGCTCTGAAGATGTCCATCACATGACGGACGTAAGCTCAACACGCAGTCATCGTAGTCGTAGGACGGTGAACCGAGGCCTTTTTCGTACAATTCAATAGACAAAGGGTCAAGGCAACACTTTCGGTATCCGGTGCGGCTAATCTACGAATCCCCCCAGCTGCCTTCACAAACGAAATGAAAGGTATGCGAGTATCAATCTACGAAGGGATTCTTCGAAACTTACCTTTTCTTCATATTGCCCACATTGTTTCTGATATATTTCTGTCACAAAAGCCATAAATTAACCGTTTAAGTCAGTTTATTTTGGAAGGATGAATTGAGCGAGTTAACCACGAGTTATTTATGTTTCAGTGCACCACTTTACTTTATTCTTATACCAACTATAGGCTAACTCGTAGTCAAGGAAACTAACCGGCTCATGCTTACATACTATGTATCTCTTGACAAGGCTAGTATGCCTTGATTAGTTAGCTTCCATTTCCATCTTTGTGCCTGTGTCTACGAGTGCCAGTCATAATTCCTTCTAGTTTAGTGTCAAGAATGGCAAAACTCACTAGAGCTGCCTACGAAATGTCTGAAAATGCACTAAGCTCATGTTCCGACGCTGTAAATGATGATAATTGTTATGAAAGAGTACTCTTGGCAACACGACCAAGTGTCGAAAACGAGTGGAAATACCTTTTTTTTATAGCGAAAGGAGACCGCGACAATGTTGGTCTTCATTTCCTCTGTTAGTCTATGGCTTCAAATGTTCTGAAAACTTTAAACCTGAGTATAATTACAATGAGTTCTAAAACTGTGTAAGGTCGGTATCGAATCTAATGTTCAGTTCTTGCGCATTGGTTTTGTACACGACAATGTATAGACATAAGGTGCTGCCAATCTTCTATACACCGCTTTCGCCAACCGTACCATCATGTTGGCTCCCTGTTATTAGATGCATTTGATCAAGTAGTGAAATGCCTATGCTTATTTGACCTCAAAATTGACCTGCACAACAAGTTTTATCTGACCCAGTTAGAGGGTCTTCGGAAGGCAACCTCCAGGTTATCTTTATGAGTAGGTTACCATTGCGATTGTGCAGGTCAAGACTTATTGCTAGGTCAAATTTATTAGGCATTGAGATGATTTATGTAACTTTCATTTCTGTGAAAGATAGCAGGTTTTTAATGATCTCGATGTCTCTTTGATGAGCCTATCCGTTTGCAAGTATGCTATGGCTTAATCTTTTTTCTGCCCCATTTTGAAAGTCTAATTTACCCTTCTTCAATCTGATAAACATCCTATTTTTATCCTCACTCTCGTTTTCCCGAAGCATTAACTCTAAGCTAATATGTGTATCTAGTCGTCTTCCCATTCTTGGAGGAGGGCACTGTAGAGGCCATAGGAACTCCAAATGTTTGTAGGGGTTTCATGTAACTTTTACACCTTTTTCGCAACTTGGTCGTGTTGTCAGGGGGCCTAGTTGGGCGCAGCTTGTTCTATGTCCTCTGCTGCAGTAGTTATGACAATTCCGAGCGTCGGACCGTCGACTTGGTACATTCACATTATCACATCTACTATGGCAGATGATTTCGGACAAGGTGCATCAAACTAGGTCGGACGACTTCTGTACATTGAATGGAGACTGTGACCAAAACAGAGGCCACAATATCTTGCTATTCATATCCTCCGCACCATTTATTGCTTCACTTGATTTGCCAGACTGCGACTTGACAAGAATGCTTCTGATCATCCGCAGGCGGATCTTACTACCGCAGCCAGTGTAGACGACGAAAGCTGCATCGATGTTGGTAGTGACGACGATGCTGACCGAGACGGTGGCGAGATGGAAGTTCAAGAGATGAGCACCGGAGATTCCTTTCCGACAGAGGGCGGCTTTGTGAAGAAATTCGGAACGGAAAATCGCCCAATGAGCAGGATGGTATGTCAAATTCACTAGAGCTACACTTGCTCATATCTGTGTGTGAAAGTTAACATCTTGCCTAGATGATTATTTGACCGTTTCATTTTATTTAAATAAAAAGAACTACTCTTAGTCTCTATACTACTTCTTTATAGTTGATAGATTCAATTCTTCACTGTTTTATAAACCATTTACCTCTCTTTTTGCCTGCCACCTTAAAAGATGTTTGAGAACCGAGGGCTTGTCAAGTACCGACACAAGCGAGAACGTAACCCAAGAGTCCATCTGCGCTATAAGTACAAAAAGGCGACCATTCGCTACCGTTCTCGAATACCACCAGTTCGGAAGGAGGACAAACCCTATTCAGGCGAGGCTCGTGGAATACGCGCCAATCTGATCCGGTCACAGAAGTTCTCCAAACATTGATTGCTTCTACCTGCTTCTGTATCAGATCAGTTGCTTCGCTTATCTGTTATGGAAGAAATCGAATCTGCATATGCGTTGTACATAAGTTGACATTTATTACTAATGTTATAATAATTACATGGTTGGTCTGCTTTCTTATACTCGTTCTTCTGTGTTTTGTCGCCAAATTTTCATTCGTCAGAAAAGGACTTCTCAAGTTCAACTTGCCCTGAGCCTCTCTTCGTGTATATGCTCATTTCTTTGGGTTCGCTTGAAAAGATGTAAAAACACGAAGAGTTTACTTTAGCATCAAAAACTCATTACTCTTCCATCTTCTTAACACCATGATCAACATTGCTAGTGAGTAGACAAATCCAGCTTTGCAAGCAGCCTCAAGAGGGCCACATATTCGACCTAATACCGTAGCGGCTAGAATGCGATTCCAAACGTCAAAATTTGACGTCCCAGTAACGCTTGAGTGTATTTGGTGTGGAGGAAAGCACAATGCCACTTGGT